CACAGGTTTACAGCTTCTAATACGATAAGATTAGTAAATGTTAACCACACAGGTTTACAGCTTCTAATACGATAAGATTAGTAAATGCTAACCACTACCATTAGAACATTGGGTGAATTTACATAAAGTTTCTTATATAATGAGTGAATATTGCTTCTCCTGAATAAGCATCACTGAATGAAGTGAAAGATGACAAACCTGATCTGACAAACCTGCATCTTGTTGTCCTGTAATTCTAGTCAGTATAATCTGCATTACTAACAGGTATTATATTGTACTCTTTTTAGATTTTCTATAAGAAAACGTTTCAAAACCAAAAATCAAGACTTGAGTAAGAAAACCACTTGGAACTAGTGAGTACTTTGAAGGCAAGTTTGGCTCCAAATGATAAAATACCCTCTGGTTCACATTCTCGAAGAGTACTGGCCATTAGAGATGGTGGATCCAGGACCTTGGTGAAGGTGATCTCGGCTGGAATGATGAGAATACCTACTGTTTGGTCTTGAGTGAACGATAGCATAGTGATCACTGCCCGACCCGATCGAATGGGGGATGGAGTTCATGGTAGATCCCCCTGACATGTAAGGCTTGTTTAGAGAGGTACGGGAACCATAATGGGAGCTAGAAGCCCATCCCACTCTGTAGGGATCATAATCCTCCATCTCAGAGGGTTCTTTGTCCACTACCTAAAACAAAAACAGAAAAAAATGAGTCTCTATAAAACGAGATAGTCTTTTATAAGAAAGATACAAGAGAGAGTTAATTGTACATCATGTGAGTAGTAGAATATACTGAGATATTTTTAGTTGCAAACATGAATCTTAGAAGCTGATCTATTGCAGGATCTATGGAAAGATTGTCCAGGTGGGTGGACCTGACAATTTTTTAGAGAAGTTTATTACAATGACCATTGTTGTGTCACATAACTGTTGTCAGAGTGAGAATAGACTAAGTAGTTCCAAGGGCAGGTAGTAATAGCTGGACTATTGTAAGTTGTGTTTAAACTAAGTTTATTACAATGACCATTGTTGTGTCACATAACTGTTGTCAGAGTAAGAATAGACTAAGTAGTTCTGAGGGTAGGTCATAGTAGCTGGACTATTGTAAGTTGTGTTTAAACTAAGTATACTCCAGTGGTTTAATTACAGGTGGTCATTAATACTTCTACACCTTTCTTTCTTATGTTAGGAATCTTAGTTAACTTTCTACTATTCTATTTTAAAAAACTTCAGAAAAAAGATGGGGGAATAATAAGATTTCAGTGATACCACACAGTTTCACTCTGTCTGAAGAATAACCTATAGTTCTATCCTGCTTGACAATACCACACAGTTCCATCCTGCCTCAGTAATAACCCACAGTTCTATCCTGCTTTACAATACCACACAGTTTCACTCTGTCTGAAGAATAACCTATAGTTCTATCCTGCTTGACAATACCACACAGTTCCACCCTGCCTCAGTAATAACCCACAGTTCTATCCTGCTTGACAATACTACACAGCTCCATCCTGCCTCAGTAATAACCCACAGTTCTACTTTGTCTGCCAATACCATGCAATTAAACTGATCAAGTAATAACCCACAGTTCTATTCTGCTTGACAATACTACACAGCTCCATCCTGCCTCAGTAATAACCCACAGTTCTATCCTGCTTGACAATACTACACAGCTCCATCCTGCCTCAGTAATAACCCACAGTTCTACTCTTCTTTACAATACCACACAGTTCCACTCTGCCTGAGTAATAACCTACAATTCTACCCTGTCTGCCAACACCATGCAATTAAATTGACCGAGTAATAACCCACAGTTCTATTCTTCCTGACAATACCACACAGTGCTACCCTGCCTTATGTCGATGGTGTGTGTCAGAATGGTTTTCTATAATCAAATTCTAACATCCAACATGTGAGGTTAAAACCACACCAGAATAAACTTCATATTATCATATCAGAACATTAAGAAATGTTTTCATACTTCACATTCATCAATTTTAACAGTCTCGAAAGGTCAAGGAGATAAAAAAAAATCTGTCCTAATGGGGTTTTAATTGGAGAGTTGCCAAGTTCTGAGTAGATTAATTGTCATCCTAATTATCAAATAAACTTCCTGCTCCAAAATGGTTCCTTACTGAATCTTAAACAGATGAGGACATCCTCCAGACAACACTCAATCACATAACCTTCCTGTTCCAACATGGCTCCTTCCTGAACCTTGAACAGATTAGAACATCCTCCACACAACACACACAATCACATAACCTTCCTGTTCCAACAAGGCTCCTTCCTGAACCTTGAACAGATTAGAACATCCTCCACACAACACACACAATCACATAACCTTCCTGTTCCAAATTGGCTCCTTCTTGAACCTGAGACAGATTAGAACATCCTCCACACAACACACACAATTACATAACCTTCCTGTTCCAACATGGCTCCTTCTTGAACCTGGGATAGATAATGAGATCTTCCAGTCAAAACACAATCACATACCCTTCCTGCTCTAACACTGTTCTTTTTTAAAACCAGAACAAAACAGGAAATAAATTCGATGATGAGGAACCCACTTTGAGACTAATAATGCTTGGAGACGGCTTGAATGGGTAATGAAGAAAAACTTTAATATACGTTTAACATAACAGCAAATGTACAATGTTTCGACAAGGTATTCATGAGTAGAACTATTATACAAGAAAATACCTGTTGTTGTGTATTCATGACTAGAAATACTATACAAGAAAATATCTGTTGTTGAGTATTCATGATTAGAAATATTATAGAAGAAAATACCTGTTGTTGTGTATTCATGACTAGAAATATTATACACGAAAATACCTGTTGTTGTGTATTCATGATTAGAAATATTATACAAGAAAATACCCATTGTTGTGTATTCATGATTAGAAATATTATACAAGAAAATACCTATTGTTGTGTATTCATGATTAGAAATATTATACAAGAAAATACCTGTTGTTGTGTATTCATGACGAGAAATATTATACAAGAAAATACCTGTTGTTGTGTATTCATGACTAGAAATATTATACAAGAAAATACCCATTGTTGTGTATTCATGACTAGAAATATTATACAAGAAAATACCTGTTGTTGAGTATTCATGATTAGAAATATTATACAAGAAAATACCTGTTGTTGTGTATTCATGATTAGAAACATTATACAAGAAAATACCCGTTGTTGAGTATTCATGATTAGAAATATTATACAAGAAAATACCCGTTGTTGAGTATTCATGATTAGAAATATTATACAAGAAAATACCTGTTGTTGTGTATTCATGACTAGAAATATTATACAGAAAATACCTGTTGTTGTGTATTCATGATTAGAAATATTATACAAGAAAATACCCGTTGTTGAGTATTCATGATTAGAAATATTATACAAGAAAATACCTGTTGTTGTGTATTCATGACTAGAAATATTATACACGAAAATACCCATTGTTGAGTATTCATTATTAGAAATATTATACAAGAAAATACCCATTGTTGAGTATTCATGACTAGAAATATTATACAAGAAAATACCTGTTGTTGAGTATTCATGATTTGAAATATTATACAAGAAAATACCTGTTGTTGTGTATTCATGACTACAAATATTATACAATACTTGAGAACAAACGTTACATGTTACGATGTTAAGAATTTTGAAAGATCATGAACAAAAGTACATGTGAACCACATTTTACAAACATCAGATATCATGTTGTTAACAATTCTCAACTGTTATTAAATGAACACAGTCAAGTGTGAACGTGTTATATAATACATGTGAACCACATTTGATAAACATCGGATATCATGTTGTTAACAATTCTCAACTGTTATTAAATGAACACAGTCAAATGTGAATGTGTTATATAATACATGTGAACCACATTTTACAAACATCAGATATCATGTTAACAATTCTCAACCATTATTAAGTGTGAACACAATCAAGTGTGAATGTGTTATGTAATTGAAGTAAATATTCTAAGAACTGAAAAGCTTTAGACTCCAGAATAGGAAATATTAGCTCTATACAAGATAACTTCAGGAATTTTACAAACTCACCTCAGTTTTGGTGCAAGAGCAAGTTAGAGACGAGCACAAAAAGATGTTAACTATAAGCATGATGAGGAGCAGAATGGCCAAGCAGATACACAATCCAATTAGCCAAGGAAACTGCCACTCTGTGCAGTTAGTCACAGCCACAGCAGCTGAACAAACAAGAAACATAACCATATAGTCAAATCTTCAACTTGTTTTGCTTTTCTTTTGAAATTTAATATTTCCACATAAGTTAACATTTTCCTCTACCAAAAATGTATTTATAACAATACTTACCTCTTATAGCTTCATTCCTTCGAAAATTTCTCTTCTCTGTCCATTGATATGAATCTTACCTTGCTTGCTCCAACATTTATATCCCACTACATTGCCCAAAGCAAGTTAAATCTTGTGTTTTTTTTCACCTATATCAATGCACCACCATTACAAATACGTATATAAACTCACCATTATTACTTCTTATTCACTTTTCGAGATGCTTTAATTAACAGACCTGAAACCGGCCATTTCATGGGTAGAAAGGACAGGCGAGTGTGAGGGGAGGTAAGTATTATCGGAACTACATTTTAAATAGTGGAAAATGTAAACTTCAGAAACACACTTACCTCCACAAAAAAGAGGTGTTTAAAAATGAGATCTAGTAATATTACAATAGTAGGGTACACACTACTTCTGGAATAGATATGCTCTTCACCAGGACAACATGATATCTAATGGTAAAGGCCGACCCACCATAGAGGCAAAATCTTAACATTGTTAGAAGACCATGTATTCATCCAGGCCTCAACCAGGCAGACAAGATTCCACTTCTCACCATTGGAATTATAGGGCTGTGAAACAAAATCTAGATTCAAAGTGTAGTGGCAAGGGCATGAGGACCACTGTTGATTTAGTTTTGTTTAATAATGTGGTATTATTGGAACCCAACCTGAAAGTTACAGAATGTTGCATGTTGAACCACCAGAATTATGAAAAGAAGGCAAGCAACACTAAAGTGGACAAACCCTCCCTCTAGCTTGAAGAAGTGCAAAATACAACAAATCGAATTTGAAATTACGGTATCTTTCATGCCTCACTCAACCTGAAGAAACAGATTACCCAACCTGGGATTAGGAACCAAAATCCTAACTCCCCAACCTAAGAGGCAAGACAACACTTCCTGCCCCAAAATTATGAGTAGGATGTGGAACAAATGACTTCCAACCAATGACTCAAGAAGTGATGCTCCACATGTGGAATTACAAAGAGTCAAGGACCCTCTTCCATGATCGTCAAAATGAAGTTAATAACCAAAAAGAAGGGCCACATTCAATAGTGAAGAGTGAACTCTGAACCAGAATTACCAGGAGGATCCTGTGTAGGCTGGTCCTGCTCCCACCATACATAGGGGAAAACCATCCAGGGTTATTGGAAGAAAGGCTTTGGCCTCTTCTCTTTGAGTATCACTCAGGAAAAATACACCTCTGTCCACCACCCCAGCAACTGGAAACTGGGAGTGGTAAGGACACCCATACTCCACTAGAAGAAATGGGGGAATACTCACACTGGGGAGTCTCAAGGAACAATGCTCTGGAGACAGTGCAATAAGGTGAAACAAGTTCCATATTTTTAATAGCAAACTGACCCCGATTTATTCAATCTAGGGGTCACCAGGGATGGGCAAAATCTCCTTAAGCTTTACTCATGATATTCCATGAATGGTGGTCCAGTAGTGTATTTGTCTTTGTGTTAGAATTGTTTACCACCCAGAAAGCACACAAGGTGGACTTATGGAACACCCCATCTAAACAAAGCTCGTTGCTACCATCTAGTAGCTATTGTGAATTTGGAAGAAAGCATACCTGATCAGGCAAAACGTATCACAGAGTGGGATCCAAATGAAAATGATCAAAGGATTCGTGAAAAAGAAGAGAAATAAACATAAACTATTATTTTGAAATTTCATTTGCATCATTTTATGAAATAAATAAAAATAGACAAATCGAACCCAAAAAGACAGGTCTCTAAAAAAAAAGAATCATCTGAAGCGTAGGTACAACTTTGGCCATTTAACGCTGAAGAGAAACCCGCAGCAAGCGTTTAAAACTGTCGTCGTAATGTTCTACTGTCGAAAAAAAGTGATTAGGAAGTAATAATAGGAGCTTATGTATGGATCTGGGATAGGAGATGCATTGACATAGGTGGAGAGAATCACAAGATTTAATTTGCTAAGGCTCGATCAAGTGCGGTAAGATTCATACCAAGGCTTAGATGGGCAGATAAGATAAATTTTCGTCAGGATAAAGCTGTAGTGTGAACGGAGGTAAGTGCATCTAATGACATTACATCTGCTAGAAACCTACGTTTAATTTGATTAACATTAACTACAGTATTTCCATACGTACCTTTGTCTAATGACATTACATCTGCTAGAAACCTA